ATTGGTGTGGGGGATATTTTCTTGGCACACTTTGGGCCCCTTAGTACCAATTGAGCATAGTCAAAAAAGCAAAACACAACATGCTACACAGAAACAAACAGCAAAAAGGGAGAATGGATCTGACCAAAGACTCCTTACCATCTTTTCTTTTCATATTTCTCCTGAAGAAACTCTTTGACTTTCTGAGGTTCACGGAAATCTGGGACCACGGAGGTCTTGTCATCATACAACCCCAGCCAGATGTGTTTGCAGACCTGAGCACCAAAAAAATAAAAAAGAGAGAGCGACTACTCAAAGGAACTTCAGTATGTGTGCATATCGTAATGTGCCCTTTGTTTTAAAGCATGTAGTACCTCATTGCTGTGTTTTTGTAAGAACTCGATTTCCTGTTGGGTGAAAGTTGTCATGGAGATAGACTTCACTCTGTGTGGCGGGTTGAGGCCTCGTCTGGGGTACAAATCAAATGACATAAACATCACAGATTGGTCAGGGCAGAGACAATACTAAACTTGGAGAGCCCTACTTGTACCAGTCGTACATTATTAGTGGTGCTTATATTTATTCTTCTTCTAGACAAACTCTCTTTGCACTTTAGGCACAAATGATACCTCAAATAAATACCTTCATATAATAATAACAACATGTAAAATACATTTGAATTATAAATAAATTATTCCTTACAAAAAATGGGAGAGAAAAAAATCCTATACACTTGCATTGAAAAGTGTAACAAGCCACCAAGAAGCAAAGTACAGCATAGCAACCAGCCAGGACACCAAACAAACAATATATCAACATGCCAAGGCTGTATAAATTAACCATGAGGGTGGGCTCTTTTGATTCGAGTTGTGTACTTAAGCACCATTAAGACCCCTAAGGCGCTGTTTGGGGTCTCTGGGGGCCCCTGTCCCATTTAGTCATGTCTCAGTGCCAGAATATCATGAAGAAACTTACATCAGGGGCGACTTATTTGACTTACGACTGTAAATTGAGGCTCCGTGTGCAGCCCTAAAGCCCTCTGGGGCCCCTGGAGGCCCTTGTGGATCCCTGTCATATTTAGTCATATCCCTGCACCAGAATGTCAAAAAGACACTAACACTGAGGGTGGCTCTTTTGTCTTAGGAACCAAAATTGAGGCCTTGATTAGAGCCCCATAGCCCTCTGGGGGCCCCTATCTTATTTAGTCTCATCACTGCACCAGAATTTCATGAAGACACTGAGGGTGGCTCTTTTGTCTTAGGAACCTAAATTGAGGCCCTGTGTGGAGCCCCCGAAGCCCCATGGATGTAAAATGTTGTCCCCTGTCATATCTCAGCACCAAAATGTCAGAGATATAGGCGTTGGCTCTTCTGACTGGCCAGTGAATTAAGAGCCCATGTGCTCTGCCAGGGGCCCCAAACTCAGCACCACAATCTCATTCAGACATGTGGCATTGTCTGCCAGTTCAAAAGTACTCGCATTTTCTTCAGTTCATCCAGTTATGAACATCATCTATGCATAAGCAGCTGTAATGTTTAAACTTGAGTGTGTCACACGTTGATACAATACTTTATGAACACACTCACAACTAGTAGCACCAACGTCGCACTGTCTTATTTGAATAGGAGCCTGTCTTATTTGAAAAGCTCGGCTGCTCTGGTCCTGAATCTCGTGCTATTTTTGTGAACGCTGATGTTATGATGATGATGATGAAGAAGATGATAGAAAGGCAGCTGGGACACATTCTGCAGATGATCTCTCAGATGGGAGGGGTTGTTTAAACATGGGTGTGTCACACGTTGATACAATACTTTCTGAACACACACTCACAACCAGCACCAACGTCACACTGTCTTATTTGAATAGGAGCCTGTCTTATTTGAAAAGCTCGGCTGCTCTGGTCCTGAATCTCGTGCTATTTTTGTGAACGCTGATGTTATGATGATGATGATGATGAAGATGATGATAGAAAGGCAGCTGGGACACATTCTGCAGATGATCTCTCAGATGGGAGGGGTTTAGGCGTCTGTCCGTACAGACGCTTGGGGAAAAACAAGTAGTTCATACACCATCTGTGTGAATATGAGGGACCTCGTTAAAAACTTACAGTATTCCGGAACAGGTGGTGCACACAAATGAGCCCACTGTCATGTTGGCGTAGGTCGGGCCGCGCTGATCGCAATCAAAGCATTTCCTATTGGGAGGCAGGCTGGTCATCTCCCGAAGCATCTTCAAGTGTTTCTCCTCCTGTTTTCGTTTGGCACTCGCCGCCATCACGAAATAATAAAGCTGTCGATTCTAGGGCAGGTGGAGCTGTGAGTTAGTGGTAAATCTAGTGGAAAATCGTTCCACATAGGACAGCCAGGAATAGCCATAAACGTTCAATTCTTCTCTGGACTGATGTGGATCGCTATAGGCTGTGCATATCAATACTGCCACCTACTGCACCGGAGAGAAAGGCCTCTACTGGCACATGTTCAAAAAACAGTTGAAAACTCCTAAAATTAAAGGGATAGTTCACCCAAAAAGGAAAATTCTGTCATCATTTACTCACCCTCCTGTCGTTTCAAACCTGTACGAGTTGCTTTCTTATGTTGAACACAAAAGAAGATATTTTGAAGATTGCTGGTAATCAAACAGTTGGTGGTTGCCATTGACTTCCATAGTATTTTTTTTCCTACTATGGAAGTCAATGGCAACCACCAACTGTTTGATTACCAGCAATCTTCAAACTATCTTCTTTTGTGTTCAACATAAGAAAGCAACTCTTTCCGATTTGGAACGACATTTTTGGGTGAACTATCCCTTTAATTAGGATCAGAAACTTGAGACTCTCACGAAATTGTTACAGCGATGGTACAGTGTCTGATGGTTCTAAATGACTGCCATGTTATTTACAAGATAGGCCTACTCAAATGTAATTTAAATAACAATTAAACTACAGAAAAGCCTGGTTTCATGACTGAAACACATGATAGTTGCTTGGTACTTTGTAGTTTGTGGATGTATCGATACAAATAAATACGAATATAAAGCACAAACTGCATCTGACACCACAAGAGTAAGTTGATGAATGAGTGAGTTAGCCTACTCACTCAGTGACTGTTAACTGAATGTTATTTGTTGTTTTTATGGTTGTACAATGAACTGTTTTTTCATTGTTCAATATTTTTTGCAAATTTAAAGTTGTTCAGCATTTTAGAGATGAACCATTTCTCATTTGAATGCTTAAAATCGTAATTGTTCAGTGACTGAAGAACGGTGTGGGCTATTTAGCTCTAATGTTCAGCGAGTAAGCAGCATTATCGGTCGTATATAATGAAGAACAGAAATAAAATGAAGAGCTGAAATCAAATTATTTCATAGAATGGTATCAAATTAACATGTGAAATGAGTTTGTTAGGCTACTTTAGAGCATTAAAGTTGTTTCGACCATACTCAACAATGGTACAATTGGAACAAATGTCTTTGTAAACTGTGAAAAGATATGAACTATTTATATGTATTATTGATCATAAATTCTTAGTTTGATAAATACAAGAAATATCACATGAAAATTGTGTTTGTAATAGCTTTTGTGAGGTAATGTAAAAGGCAAAAAGTGTTCCAACTGTACTCTGTCTACCCATACGCATCAGGTGTGAAACCACATTAAAGAAATAGTTCAGTCAAAACATCAAAATTTGCTGAAAATTTTCTCAACCTTCTTACTGGAGGAAGTGTTGTTATTATTAGACTTGTATACGAGACGGACTCGTATTTTGGCCAGAAGCAATAGTTTAAAGTTAAAATGTCTTATTGATGGATTCGTTACTTATAAAGTAGCTTTTCACTTCACAAGATGGTAATGAGTGTTGTGGATTATTTGTGGATTATTGTGGTGCTTTTATCCGCTGTTTGAACTCTCATTCTGACGGCACCCATTCACTTGCAGAGGATCCACTAATGTTATGTAATGCTAAAGTTATGTAATGCTAAATTTCTCCAAATATGTTCCGACAAGGAAACAAACTCATCTACATCTTGGATGACCTGTGGGTAAGGAAATGTGCAGCTAATTTTCATGTTTGGCTGAACTATTCCTTTAAATACAAACCATAGTACTGCAACAATGAAACACAGTATATTTTCTAGAAATAAAAAGAAGTAATCTGTAATTGAATACAGGCTCACGAACATAAACGGTTTTTTTTTTTGTACATGATCCAAAAACATTAAAACATATATTTTCTTGGCACTGGTTTTACATGACGTTGCCATTTGAACAAAATTAATTAAGCATCTAAAACAGATCCATGCCATTATACTTTTGACTCTTCGGTCCACATGATGGTTTGATCAATGGTTTAAGATTCAAAAGGGTCCATATTATTACATTTTTGGTCGCTTTCTCCCACTGGATGCTTCCACAGCTGCAGACTCAGCCTAGATAAGGAAGACAAGATTGTTTGTTACAATGTTCAAGCAAGCAATCGATTTACAATACATCTTTATTGACATCTGACCTTTCTCCTCCGTGTTGCACGGAAAAAATCCTCAATACGTGACTGTCGAGTTTGGCCCATTTTCTCATCCACCTCCCTCTGCTTCCTTCTCTTTAAGAGAGACTCACGAAACTTCTTCATGCGTCCCCGCACCCTTTCTTCCCTTAAAACATTGAATAAGGTCACACACCCAAAGAAAGGTTAAATGCACAACTAAAAAATGAATAATACTAAATCATGTCAGTTAATATCGCACTCTTTATCAAAAAATGTCAGATACTAGTAAATACTAGAACACAGATATGTACTTCAAAGGCCTCTCTTTGCACAGGAACTGCACCAGGCCCTCTTCATCAGGCTCACTCCAGGCCAGGACAGGGTCGTCAATTTTTGGGGTTTCAAAAAACAGCTTGCGGGCATCCTTGTACTGCCAGTTTGGAGGGACTGGGTGTGTCTGGAAGAATTGACAGCCAAAGTCGCCTTTTATTTTGATGTATGAACAACAGCAACCAGAACATTCTTCTGAACATCTATTTTTGTGTTCCACAGAAGAAAGAAGATCATATGGTTTTTAAAAGCACATTAAAGTGAATAAGTGATGACAAAACTATCAGAATGTTGCCTTATTGAGCCTTCTAAAGTCACAATGAAATCAAAGTGGAAAATTCGGATACACATCATTCGGACATACATCACAATAGAAAACAAAAGACAATCACAATTCCTGTTTATTGCCAACTTTAGCAGTGCATGATTTCTTTGGCTTGTACGATTTCTTTCTGAACAAGCACCTTTCTGTTGACATGTTCCATCACACCCTCTATTGTATGATGTTGTTTAATAAGCTTCAGTGCTCGACTCGGACCAAGACCCCCAATCTTATCGCAGTAGTCACAGCCCAGCAAGATACACAGGTCAACAAACTAGGAAAGAGACACAGGAAGAAAATTAAGCAAATCAAGACACTCTTTTTATTATTAAAACTTCTTTTTCTTTTGATTTTTTTGGGGTTAATTTAAAGGGGTCCTATTATGCTTTTTCACTTTTTAAATTTTAGTCAGTGTGTGGTGTGTGTATGTTTGGGCATAAAAAAGTTACAAATCTCGAAGTCCACTCCAAGGGGAGATATTTAGATTTTAAAAAATCCCTTTTCAAGAACTACAACGAACGGCTCGTTTGGACTACAGCGTTTGTTTTCCGGGCTTTGTGATGTCACAAAGCGGCTCATTAGAATATCATTAAAAATTATTCCCGCCTACAGAAATTCGAATGGTTGGGGGGTGGGGAGGGGCGAGGTTGTGGTTAGAACGCTTGGTTGAGTGAGTGCATCAGACGAGACGACGGAGAAGAAGTGCTGCTGCAGAGTTAGTGCATCAAAGAAAACCAAGAAGAAGAGCCGATGTGCTGTAGCGTCAAATTTTCGGCATGTTTAGAACAATTCTTACAAGTACAACACGACGTAGCTGGGCGCCGTGGACAGAACCCGAACGGCGCCGCCGGTGTGCCTACACTCATAGAAAATAATGTTTTCAAATAAAATTAAAG